CTATCCCCCCCCCCCCCCGAACGAGATGGAATTTATATAGTAAACAATCACTTTTACTAGTGTCCGCACCCACCCCCCCCCCCCGAAAAATGTTGACCGCCCCCCCCCCCCCAAAAAAAAATCAAGTGCCCCCCCCCCCCGGAGAAAAAAGTCTGGAAGAAAAACTGATGCCTTGGTCACAGAAACAGGTAAACTCTACTTCCTTTGCCCATAGACCGTCAGGTTCGAAAAAGAGAACTTTTCTTTTGCTCCCACCACTACAGATCCACTTCAGCGCCGATTACAGAGGAAAAATGTAATTTGATGTAACGCGTTTGTGTGTGGCCGTGAAGGTAGTGGTGGAATGGGTGTGGGGGGGGGGGGGGGAGAGAGTAGCACCATGGTTACACGTAGTATAAGGTCGGGCGGGGTGGGGTGGGGGAGCTGGAAAAACCGAAGGTGGCTCTAATAAAAAACCTACACAGCAGACGATGATTATTTTTCTTCCATTTGCTGGTATCGCATCGTTTACCCAGGCATCCAACCAACCCTAGCCCCGACCCTAAACCTCAGATCCTAAAACCCTAGCCCAGACCCTCAGACCCTATTTCCGCAAACCTCTAACCCCGACTCTAAACCCCTAACCCGACCCTAAACCCTTTAGCGCCGACCCTAAACCTCAGACTCTAAAACCCTAGCCCAGACCCTATTCCCGACCCTAAACCCCTAGCATTAACCGACCGCAAACCCCTAACCCCGACCCTAAACCCCTAACCTTGACCCTAAACCCTTAGCCCTGACCCTAAACCCTTTAGCGCCGACCCTAAACCCCTAACCCCGACCCTAAACACCTGACCCTAAACCCCTAGTCCCGACTCTAAAGCCCCTAACCTCGACCCTAAACCCTTAGCCCCGACCCTAAACCCTTAGGCCCCGACCCTAAACCCCTGACCCTAAGATCTGTATCGACGGATAAGAAAACAGGGCATGAATCTATTACAATACTCTGAGGCGCAGTGAGAAGAACAAGGGAAAACAGTGGTAATGAGGGGGTGGGGAAGGAAGATTACATCAACTCAATTAAAATTTCATCTAATAACTAATTAGACCTGGTGTAATATAAGACTGTGAGAGTTGGTCTGCTGGAAGGTCTAGTTGCCGACGGTGTTATGAAAAAAAGTTTACCAGCTCGTGTACTTCACGCGCCCAGCTCTACACATGTAGATTGCTTTGGTGTGAGTGGGTGTGAACGTGGGAGAGAGTAGAAGTGTGGAGTGTGTGTGGGAGTGGGGGGGTAACAGTAAGGTGTTGGTTTGGGGGGGGCGGAGAATAGCAGTGTGAAATGTGTGTGTACGTGGGGTGGGGGTAGCAGAGTGAAGTGTGTGTGTGTGGGGGGGGGGGGGGGCAGGGATTGTCACGTAAATGTGTGTGTGTGGGGGGGGGGTAGTAGTGAAGTGTGGGGGACAGGGATTGTCACATAAATGTGTGTGTGTGTGTGGGGGGGGGGTTAGCAGTGTAAAGTGTGGTGTGCAGCAGAGTGAAAAGGGGGGGGGGACGATTGTCAAGTGTGTGTGTTTGTATGTGTGACGCGGTGGGGGTAGCAGTATGAAGTGGAGGGGGGATAACTGTGACATGGTGGTGGTGGTGGGAGAGGGGTGGGGGGGGGGGGGGGTAGCAACATTTATTGAAAAGCAGAGAGGGTAGCATTCGAAGGGAGTAGTCGAGTATACGTCAAGGGATTAGAGGGATTAGGCTGAACGTGCAAACATGGCAAGGTGTCCTTGCGGGGGGTGGGGGTGGGGTGGGCGTTTTAGGGGGTAATAACTGAGGGTGGTTACCCTCTAACAAGCGGAAAGAAGCACCGCTAAGGTGTATGGTGTATTCTTGAGAGGAAATGGCATAAGATTAAGAATGCGGTCCGAGTTTCTTTCAGACACTGCCACCTACCGGAAAATACCCCCCCCCCCCCCCCCCCCTTTGGCATGTAAATTCATTGTTTGAGTTAAGACCCCCCTCCCCTCATTTTATTTCGAATAATTTTTATTGAAAAAAAAAAGACGAAAAACAGGAACACGCACGTTTAGCACCAGTGCGCATGTCCAGAAGTAGCGACCCACCCGGTGGCCAGTGTAAGGGCACCATAACCTCTCTACAACCCACGCCTGCTAGAGAGTGCACGTGATGATGGCCTGGATCATTAATTCACGCTGCTAAGTCGATGATCACATTCCTACTAGCAATTAACACACCCTACAAAAAAAAACCCACCTGAACTAGCTGGCTGGAAAAATATTATAAATCGAAAAGAAACCATATTAAAACTATTTGATCTCTGAGGGTCTGTCTTGGTCCATCTAGTCTAAATTATAAAAAATTAAAAACAGTCAGTACTGACAACCCACCAAGTTTGTGCTCTCTGGTTTGACAACCCAAGTTTGTTCTGACAACCCATCGGTTATTCGCTAAGTTTACTATGACAACCCACCAAATATGTTCTGACAACCCACCAAATATGTTCTGACAACCCACCAAGTCTATGCACTCTGTTCTGACAACCCACCAAGTGTTCTGGCAACCCATAAAATCTTTGCACTAAATTTACTATGACAACCCACCAAGTATGTTCTGACAACCCACCAAATCTATGCACTAAATTTACTATGACAACCCACCAAGTATGTTCTGACAACCCACCTTGTCTGTTCTGACAACCCACCAAGTCTATGCACTCTGTTCTGACAACCCTCCAAGTGTTCTGGCAACCCATACAATCTTTGCACTAAATTTACTTTGACAACCCACCAAGTATGTTCTGACAACCCACCAAGTATGTTCTGACAACCCACCAAATCTATGCACTAAGTTTACTATGACAACCCACCAAGTATGTTATGACAACCCATGAAGTCTATGCACTAAGTTTACTATGACAACCCACCAAGTGTTCTGACAACCCACCATGTATATTCTGACAACCCATGAAATCTTTGCACTAAGTTTACTACGACAACCCACCAAGTGTGTATACCAAGTATGAAAACCCTCCTCACAATCTGACTGAATTAGTGTTAAGAGGTATAGGTGGGGAGGGTGGGGTAAACTCATTACTGCTGAGTAAAACAACCTGTCCCATTTTCTTTCATCAGCTGCTCAGCAATTTTCCTGTGGGTGTTTTACATAGCAAGTTTCATGATGTAATAGGGCTGGTAAGTAGGTCACTCTATGTCTCATGCAGGTTTTATTGAGCCGTAGAACTGGTTGGTGACCTACTTACCAGCCCTATTGGCAATGTTAAGTTAATGACCTACTTAGAAATGTAGGTCAACTTTTATGAAACTTTTGGATATGTGTATTTAGTTCAAAACCTACTCTTCATAATGTAAAATTATTTCATAGGCTATTTGGCAAAGATCTTGATCTATTTTATTTAGAAATGTAAAGTTTCATGAGTGGGCAAGGTAAATTGTATGATCTACTTAGCAAGTAATGTTTCTTGAATATACTAAAAAGAAATAGCAGTGTAAAGTTTTATGACCTACTTGGCAATGTAAAGTTTCTTGACCTATTTGGCTGCTGATTAATGACCTACTTAGCAATGTCAAGTTGTATGACCTACTTGGCAAAATAAAGTTTTTAAGAGTTGTATAAATTAAAGGAAGAAAACACAGAAGTAGACAAAAATATTTTTTTATTCTTTTCTAATTTGATTTTATATTCCAGTCCATGTTTATGATTTGTTTTTGTGGACACCAAAAACATAATTACAAGCACAGTGTTTCCATATGTGGCTACATAAATTGCAAACAACACACATCCTAATGCTGTGTTCACACAGTGGTAACACACGTGATAACAAATCACACAAATGGTGCAGGACTGTGAATACAAAAAATTGTGTGTAACAGTAACACCACACATTTTGTGATTTTCATCATCTTTTCCCAAGACACAAGGGACAGATAGAGTTCATCTGCTTCAGATACCTCAGGGGTCATCCATTTATGACATTCACACGCGGGGGGGGGGGGGGGGGGGTGCTGGTGGGGGTCCAAAAAGAAAACTGACTATTGTGGAGGCATATGGACTTTAATATTAATAAGGGAAAAAAAGTGGATTTTTGTGTGTGTGTGTGTGGGGGGGGGGGGGGGGGGGGGGAAGGAGGGTGTCCAAAATCCAAAAAAAAAAAAAATTGTGGACGTCATAAATGGATGACCCCTCAGCAAATGAAAGGATAGTGTGGTCAGCACTATGCCCAGGCGATGTTCTACTGACTTGAACCCGGATTTGAAATCGAGACTCTTGGGTTAGCAGTCTAGCTCTCTACCGCTAGGCCACGCCGTCCCTTTTTGTGATTTTACTGAACATTTTCTTTGTTGGCCTAAAACCCTTTGTCTCACAAATTATGATTATACTATACACTGATTAATTGGTGGACTAACTGTATAACACATTTGTATACTGATAAATTGGTGGACTGGCTCCTATGTAAATACACACAATATAATAATGTAATTATACTGTACATTTGTTCATTGTGGATCTACATGTATGGCACAATTTATTTGTGATCATATTATACACTTATAAATTGGTGGACTAGCTGTATACCACATTTGTTCACTGACACATATGCAATTACACTATACATTTGTTCTTTGTTGGTTGAATATTTACCTCACACACACATTGTAGTGTAGCCTAAATTTTGTGAAAGCTAGGTGTATGACTGATCAACTATTACTATACAGTACAATTATTTACAGATGGCCTTGTTTTTGTTGTAGCATAGAAGAAGATGAAGGTTGGAGGTGAGATACAGTGAGTGAAGCAAGGGTAGACTGCAGGGTAACAATATAGAATGGTAGAGTACAGTGAAGCCAATAGAACCAATTTCAGGCAAAAGTAAACAATAGGAAAGGTTTGATAGGAATGGGAAGTTTTATATAAATTTTGAACTTTAATTACCGATGGTACACAATATTTAAAAAGGAAATGGAAAATTTTGCCTTAATGCCATTTCGATGTGACCTAACATGTTTAAATAGAAAGGATTGCACTCCCAATACACTTTCATAGACCAGAAAGATTACACCCCTATTACACTTACATAGACCAGAAAGATTACACCCCTATTACACTTACATAGACCAGAATTACACCCCTAATACGCTTACGCAGACAAGGAAGACTGCACCCCACTATACTTAAGCAAGCCTAAAAGAATGTAAGTGAATGTATTCTAAATTATGTTCATCAGAAGGTCCTTTTGAATTATGCTCATAACTAATCAGGCAGTTGTGTGTGTCTGAACATGAACAGATCAGGTTGGGTGAGTTCCCACAGTTCCAGAGAAAAATACAAATCTCTCAATGGGAACCAGTATCTGAGCACTACCACAAGGGATCTAAAGGAATGTTAATTATAATGAAAGTTGGATCCCAGTGCTGAAAGACACAGCTGAACACAACCCTTGAACTTGTACAACAACAAAAAAAAAAATCCTAAATTTTTTTTTTTAAATCCTAAAATTTTATAACATTTCTAGTTGTTAAGAGTTAACTATTGACCGTTTTTAACCTCTTGTTGAGTATTTGTTCACTAGCTGTCCACAGGGCCACAGCCAGGGCTTTGTTCTCTGACTGCTTGGATGGCTGGCAGCAGCAACAGTTGTTGAAATATAAACCTCCAACGTTGGAGAGCTCGTCAGCAACAGCACAATACACCGTAGTAGCTGCCCCTTGTTGCTGCAACAATCAATGCCATAAATAATAAATGAGATGCATCTCATTTGTTTCTCTTTTACCATTTTTTTTCTCAATGAAAATTTAAAAAAAAAAAAAACCATGAGATTACAATAGGAATGGAAGATGCAAAATTTCAATAAATACTTTATGTTTTTGTGTTTTGGCCTGAACTAAAATTCCCCTTGAGACCCTGTTGTTTGCTAATATGGCCTGAACTAAAATTCCCACAATGCCTGTCTCTGGTACTTTACTAAATCCTTAAAAGGCCTAGGTGGGCGTCAGAGAGAGGTTCTAGAGATCACAATAGAGTACCTTTTCAAACATGATGGGATATTGTGCAGGTGAAGTAGAGTTTGCATGTTTCAATGACCTCTGTGTATAAAAGATAATGTGGTCAGCACTATGCCCAGCTGCCTTAACTTTTCCTTACTTGAGTCAGGTACCCATTAGAGCTGGGTGGACTCAGGGAAGTTCTACTGACAAAAACCTAGGATTTGAACTCATTCGGGTTAGAAGACTTATGGTGTACCATTTTGAGTTTGCAGTATTTGACCAATAACATTAGTTTTCTAATATGATGTCAAACTAATCTAAAATATTATACACATAAAACCTAAAGTTCCCATTTTGAACCTGAATGTCCAAGAGGCAAGTGAAATAGAGTTCACCTGTTTCTGTGACCTCGGCATATGTCCAGCCGCCTAATATGTGTTAGGTACCCATCAGAGGTGGGTGGACTCAGAGACATTCTACTGACTTGAACTTGGATTCGAACTCCAGATTTCTGGGTTCGCAGCTTAGAGCTATACCACTAGGCCACGCTGCCCACTATTATACACAAACATCACCATGTATTTTTCAAGGGTTAAATGTGAATCAACCAACATAACTTTTTCTACAGCATTTGATTCCTGGGCTCTGATCTATATGCTGTCCCTGAGTTCACCCAGCTCTGACAGGTAACTGACTTGAGTTAGCAAAAGATGTGGGGCATGGTACAGTTAGCTCAAATTAAAAATCTGTCAGACTTCCTTGTTAAATTTAGCATGGATTAAATTAACCCTTAACTGTCCAGGTATTAAAAACCTTTTTTTACCCCACCTGTATGGCCTAGCCAAATGACACTTTTTTGAAACCATGACACTTTAAAACTTTATCAACACGTTTTAAAACCATAAATCTGAGTGTAAGAATTATTTGAATTAAAATATTATTAAAATGCCAAAAAATAATTAAAAGGCAATGCATTCACTGCAATTACTTTAAAAAAAATTGCAATGTATTATTTCTGTTATAATCATCAAATCCCGATTCAACAGCAGATGCATTTTAATTAGCTTTATTTCACTAATTAAATAGCATGTAATTTCAAAAAACTATAACTTGTAGAAAATTAATTGTTAATGATAGAATAATTAAAAACAACCATCTAAGCAAGATTAATTATTTCCGGTCTGCTGGTATCTTCAAAATATTATTATCAGTGAAACTTGTGTTGGAGTGAATGGTGCTTTGAATGTATCATATATAGTTTCAGGTGCACGGGTCAGTCAAGGGTTAATGCTTTAACAAGGTGTTAGCTAGTTAAAAATGTTAAGTTCAATTTGCCATAGATTTAGTGAAAGACGTCACAGGATTTTAGCACAAGTTACATTTCTATGTGACCTAAACTTATGTCCAGGATTTAGTGACTGGCCTCACTAAGTGTTGGCTGAAGTTAAAATTCTATGAGACCTAGTTAAACTTACCATGGATTTAGTAAAGAGCCTACCAGGATTTGAGCTCAAATTAAACCTCTATGATAATAAGCTAAACATACTATGGATTTAGTGAAAGGCCTAACTTAGTGCTAGTTAAAATTAAACCTCTATGATAGCTAGCTAAACATACCATTGATAGACTGAAAGGCCTAACTTAGTGATAGCTAAAATTAAACCTCTATAAGAGCAAGCTAAATGTACCATGGATTTAGTAAAAGGCCTAACTTAGGGCTAGCTAAAATTAAACCTCTATGAGACTATCTAAATGTACCATTGATAGAGTGAAAGACCTAACTGCTAGCTAAAACTAAACCTCTATGAGACTAGCTAAACATACCATGGATTTAGTGAAGGGCCTAACAAGAGCGTAGATGAGCCTGTAGAACCACCAGTGTCGTGCGAGTCCGGAGCTCATCATGTTGCCAGGGTGTACGGCGTTGGCCACTATACCGTGGGGAGACAGTCTGTAGTTGAGCTCGCTGGTGAACAAGATGTTGCACAGCTTGGAGTTGTTGTAGGCTGACATGTGCCAGTAGCTGTTGCCTTTGGGGGACAACTTCTCCGGGGTAACATTTGTTTCCTTCAGGTCACTAAATCTGTAAAAATAAAAAAAATTTTAAATGTGTAAAAATAAAAATAAACTGTTTGGCTATACAACTTGATCAGAAACAAATCTACAGAAAAGGAAAACTGTATTTGTAAAAAGTTAAAAACCCTCTAGACTTGATGACCCTTGCAGCAGATGAAGCAGAGTTCAATACTTTCTATTGACAAAAAAACTGAGAAGTTATTGCTTAGCTAATATATATTCTGCCGCCATTAATATCTCTAGACTTATGGCAGGTACTTATTACAGCTGAGTAATTACATAGGAAACTAAACATTTGACTTTATTCAAGTTCAGAGTTAACTTCTACATTTCCATTTAATGCTTCTGCATTAACCTGGGCACTACACTAACAGACCGGTCGAATGGTAGAGCGTTTGACTTTTAACATGAAAGTCTCAAGCTCAGATCTCTGGCTCACATCCATAAGACACCCCTGAGTCCAACCTGCTTTGATGGATACCTGACTCCTGTTAGGAAAGAAAAAGTGGCTGGGCATAATGCTGACCACACTACGTCACCTGCCCCATGGGTCGTAAGGTTTGGAAGGGTACTTTATTACACTTAGAAACTAATAACGCATATCTGTAACATATCTGTAACACCAACATGCAACAAGCTAATGCCACATAATGACCTTACTCTAAATTTCATAAGGTTAGACCAATACTTGTTTTTTTCTTCTAAAATAACAGAACAATTCTCATTCAAAGTATTTGATTCATACATCTTATAAAACAGAACTGTAATTTTAAAAAAAATCCCAGAAAATAAAACAGCTCACTTTAAAAGTCTTTGCTTCTTACTTCCTATAAAAACAACCCAGAAAAAAGCAAGGAACAAAAGATGTGCACATCACCTGTGGGACTCACTGGACACAATGATAATCCTAGCAGGAGCCGACCTCATCATGGTGTTGACTAAAAGCTTGGTGAGGTAGAAATGAGATAAGTGGTTCACTTGGAATGTGGTCTCTAGGTTGTCCTCTGTCATTGAGAACCCCAGGGCAAAGACGGCAGCATTGAGAATCAGGATGTGGAGAGGCCTGAGTAAAAATACAATATAAAAAGGTTATATATTTGGTCACAAAAAAATAATCAAAATTAAAGGTTAAATATTTGGCCACAAAAAAATGATCAAAATTAAAGGTTATATATTTGGTCACAAAAAAAGGATCAAAATTTAAGATTATATATTTGGCCACAAAAAAAAATGATCAAAATTTAAAGTTATATAGATCTTTGGGCCACAAAAAAATAATTGAAAGTTGTATATTTGCCCACAAAAAAAAATGGCCAAAAATAGAGAACAAACTGGAATATACGAAATGTAAATTAGAGGGACAAGGCATAAAAATGTCTTTGCTTAAGATAATGATATGATGACTAAAAAATACACCAGTAGATGAACTGTCACTGTAGTGGAAGCACAAACTCCAACAGTGACAGTTAAACTGGTATATAGGCGTATCACCCTGTAACGAGGCTTCACCTTAAAAAAAAGTGTTTAGGTGCGTAATCTTTACTAAGTCATACAACTTGCAAAAAAGACAAAGCTAACTAAAATGTTAGACTATGGCACACCACATAATCAGGTAAAGATATGCCCCCAGTTGAGTATATGCTGAGGCTGTTACCCAATATATGTGTATGAGGATTATTCAGCCAGAACAGGTTGACCTAGAGAAATACTGTTCATAACATTAGAAAAATCTCTGCCACATAGGATAGTAAAGGGTTAACTCCCTGAAACAAAATCTTCAATTAGTGTTCTACACCACAAAGTTCTCTTAAAAAAAATAGTTCCCTTTTTGAACCTGACAGCATGGGGCAAGTGAAGAGTTCACTTGTTTTTGTGATCTCGGCATTAGAAGGGATAGTGTGGTAAGCACTATACCCAGCTGCCTCACTTTCTCTAACGTGAGTCAGATACCCATCATGGCAGGGTGGACCCAGCGATGTTCTACTGACACAAATCTGGGCTTTGAACTTAAGACATTAGCAGTCCCACAAGTTCTCTCAAGCTTGCTTCTTAAATTGTTATTATCAAAAATCTATTACAGTATTTCATGTATTCAAGAGAATCAGTAAAGAGTGGCAACCATTTCAAACTGCTCAGATGTTATGGTAAAGGAATGTCAGATGGTAGAGCTCATGATTGCTAACCCCAAAGTCTGGAGTTTGGATCCAGAGTTAGCAGGACTGCTTGATACTACCCAGATTTGATGGGCATAGTGCTGAGGTAATTGAAACAGGTGAATTCTAATAATTCACCTGTGTCTTGGGCACTGAATGGAAAAAGATGAAGAGTAACACAGCCTGGTAGTTAAACACTGCCACATATAAAACTTGTAATGTTTGGTCATACTGTTTTTATATTTTTATTGTCTAATTAAAAGTAATGACATAACACCAACTAGTAAAGCAATATTTCCCTAGCTTTGAAAATGAAACCCTAAAATTTATTACCATCCTTTCTCCTCATAACTTTCTGCCAAATGCTTCACACTTTTGAGGGACGCCAGGTCCACATGCATGACTTCAACCTTGGCGCTGGGCATTTCCTGAATTATCTTAGCGCGGCCATCGTGGGCTGACTGGGTGTTCCTGCAGGCCATCACAACAGTAGCCCCATGTAGAGCCAGGGATCTGGCTGTCTCAAAACCTGGACAGTGAGAAATCATGGTGAACTAAGGGAAGTAACTCTCATTGTGAGTTTAATAAATTAACTTTGAAAAAGAAATAAATAAATAATTACAGTATCTTGATTTATCAAAAACATTATAGTTGATAACAATGATGAACTAAGGGAGGTAAATTTATAAGGCAGTATTATTAATCACATTTTTTTAGCATTTTGACAATCTGTATTTTAGCTACTTGGATAAATTGATTAATTGGAAAACATAAAATAAGAAAAGTTGCCTCCCACTTCACAATTTAGGGGAACCTGTCTAAAACAATTATGACTTGACTAAAACTGATATATAATATTTAATTAATATCTTCAAAATTTAATCTTGTATTGATTAATGGGTATTGCCAACATACCCATGCATTCACCACAGAACTAAGTATTTTGTAAACTTCTAATTTTCAGACCATACTACCCTGTCAGCCCCCCCTCCCCCATGGAGAATCTGCAGCCAAAACAACAAATTACCTATCCCACTGTTAGCCCCTGTGATCAGGACATATTTCCCAGTCAGCCCCCCCCCCCCCTCTCTCCCCACCCCCATGGAGAATCTGCAGCCAAAACAACAAATTACCTATCCCACTGTTGGCCCCTGTGATGAGGACATATTTTCCTGTCATGTCCCGCCCATGGAGAATCTGCAGGGCTGTGCTACTGCCATCAAATTTCTGTCTGAAGTCCAGCGGAGTGTCCTTGACCTCTTCAGCAAAGGCTAGCCTTGGATCTGTGTAGGTTGTCTTTTGATTAATGTGGCTGAGGACAAGAAATTTTTTTTTTTACTTTATATAATTTACCATTTCTTTTTATTGTGAGAATTATTATTGGGTACATAAAATACACTGGAATGATGTGGCCAGATGCTAATAAAAAATCTCAAGTTCACACCTGGACTCTGGTCTGTACAACGTCCCTGTATACACCCAGCTATGGTGCATACCTGACTCGCATTAAGGAAATTAAGGCAGCTAGGCATAGTGCTGACTACACCAGTATACGTATGTCATCAAAACATAGGAACTCAATTTCATTAGTTCCATGTGGCTTGTGCACCAACAGGAAAAGATTATGATGATGATTTATTTATTGTATTGTGTATTGGTACTCAGTGAGCAAATGATATGGGTGATTAAGCAGTTCTTACTCTACATAAAAAACTGTTCCGTCGTCTGTTATGTTGCGCTCCCAACCAAAGGGCAGATCTGGAGAGATAAATAATAATCTGATGAGTGGGATTTCATAAGCCAGTTTTTGTTACATTGCTAAAAACTAAAATAAAAAGTTAGAAGTTTAGGTATATTTCAACAAGTATACTTTATAGTAAACAATTAAAACTACAGAAAATAGAATTTTTTTTAAACTTAAAGACTGGGCCGTTATGCATAGGGTTAGCGTTATGAAGAATAGGCATAGGGTTGGGGATAGGAAAATGTCTATGGTTAATGTTAAAGTTACTGTTAGGGATAGGTTCAAAATAGGAATAGTGATAGAGATATATATTTAAGGATAGCAATATTAAGACAGTGCTGAAGATGAGATACGCTTATAACAAAATTTGACGTTCTTTAAAAAATTACAATGGTTGTTCAGCTGGCTACAGAATTTTTTAAAGTTTTTTTTAACACCATGCTTATTTTTAAAATGTCTATTTTTTTTATTTACTAGTAGGCTACATTGTAAAACAATAAAACTTGTAAATGACTAAAACAATTATTAAACCACTAATGTCTAACAACAACATTAATAATTTGGAAATAGGGTGAAATAAAGTGTCAAAATAACCTCCTTTAACAACTTTCTTCTTCCCAGTGACAGGGTGTTTCCACTGTGTGTTCTGTTTCTCATGGCTGGAAATGGAAATAAAGAATTGCTGTTAAACATGCAAAAAACGCTTTATCTATAATTGAGTATCAGCAGAGAATCCAATGACCCAATAGTGATGGCGGTACTCTTTTTTAAATGTCATAACGGGGGTTTGTTTACTGTGAGAATTCGGTTCATTTAGTAATCTGTCCCATTGCCACAATGGCTTAAAGATGGAGACCAACAATTGATGCTCTGATATCAAAAGTCTGAGTTGAATGAAAACACTACCAGTCTCACTAAACTGTATTATATTTTTAAAACTAGATTATAATATGAAGTAGAGGTTGGAACTTGTAGACGACCTCATCATAACATTGAGTAAGAGGTTGGGATAAGTGTCATCTCAATAGGGACCTTGGTCAAACCCAGTTTTTTTTAAACTAAGAAAATTGTTTGTAGGTGGTACATCAAAGCTTAATAGTCAGCTTACATCAAAGACCAGCGTATTTCAACATTTATAAATAAATTTATTTATAAATTAGGTGTTTAAATAAATAATTGAAAATCCACACACACATTGAGAAACGAAGAAAAAATAAAACTCAAAACACAAGCATCTTCATATTTGGGCATGCTCGATGCATACAACATTAGAAATGTGTTTGCAGCTTTTCAATAAACAAGTCATGTGTCATGGAATGACTCAGCAAACCCAAGAAATCATTTTGTGTCTAGATTCTTCTTTCAGCTCAGTAACACTGCACTTCATTTTAAAGAAATTTAAGATGCCCAGTAATCTCCTCTATCAAATTTTTATTTATTTTACCTTCAGATTTATCTACTACAGAGACATGATTCACATTTCCTTTTAACAACCAGCCTACTACAATGTGGAAAAGAAGTACATTGATATTTTTAAAACAAAAAAAAAAGACAATCTAGATCTAGAGTCCTAATAGAATTTTTTTTTAAGTTTAGCCCGAGCAAAATAAAAAAAAAATAGATTAACTAAGTTGACTTGGTGCGTCTCGAACCCACACCACCTGCGTGAGTTTAAGTACACTATCATCTCCGCTATATAGGCACCTTAGAAAACACGGAGATTAAAAGACGTATTTTAAAATCTTAACTTACGCGAATATGCCTATTCTTTCAAATTAATTTTTTTATCCCAAATTAGCCAGTTCCAAACAAAGACTTTGTATAAAATAATTATGTCTTGAAATAGTTTAGTCCTAATATAGAAATTTATTTTTGGAATAGATTCTAGAGAAGTTAGAGTCTAAATCTAGATCTTAGCGTCTACGTCTCGATCTAGATCTAGTTATTGCGTAGATTTGTAGATTTAGATCTAGTCTAGATCTAGAATCTCTAGATCTAGAATCCAAATAAATAAAATAAATTTTACGAGTTTAGGCCGGAAAAAATTGTATTGTATACATTTCATAGTGTACGTAGATCTAAATCAAATTTGAATGAAATAGTTCATTTCTTTTTATTCTAAACACAGCAGATGACGTCATTAGTTAATGTATAAGCAATAGTGATGTCACAGTTTTATGCGTTCTTTTTCACATGTATTAATGCTTTTCCGGTTGCATAAATAATACTGTTTCTCTACATTCGAATACGCCTTTATTTTTTATTTTTCTTCTTTAAATAAAATTGTGGTTATACATTTAAAACATCTAACATATTATTTTCAACAAAAGTCCATAAAAAGTTCTCGATATATCGCTGCCGATTCTGACGTGATGTCCGGCGAAAAATTTTTGCGGACAGACAGAGAGAGAGAGAGAGAGAGAGAGAGATGTGCGAACGTGGGGATTTATATATTAGGATAGAATCTCTAGATCTAGTATTAGATTCCAGATCTAGATCTTTGTAAGTAGTAAGTACAAGTAGATCTAGTAGTATTAACAAAGTAAGTAGGCTTGAAGTCTTGAAGTAGTCCAAGAGTAGCAGAAACAAAATTACAAGTGAGTTCAAGTAACAAGACAAGTGATAATCAATTAATCATAGATCTAGATTACTAAGATTAGATCATTAGATAGATCTAGATCTAGATTTAGGGATTTTGGTAAAAAAGCACTAATCATCATATAAAAATAAAAATTACATATTCTTGTAGAGCTCAACAAAATGAAAACAAAACAAAAAAGATTTTTTGTCTAGCTCAAATAGTTTTTTTTTTGCGAATTTTTTTGTGAGGGGTGGAATCCCCTTACTTTTGCATTGGCCAATTGTGACAAGTCATGGTATACCTGAATAAATTGAGCATAGTTATTTTAATTGCAGTTGTATTTTGTTCATATTTTCAGAGTTTAGCTAGAATGATATATAGAACTTGTAAATGTTGTTGAAATGAATAAAAATAATACAGAACTTATATTTTTGTGTTGGCTTCCTCCCATAACCCCAAAAAACTGTGTGCTGCGCAAATATGAAAATGTTTCTAAAGCCATATTTTATATAAATACAGCAAATGAAAGAACTACAAAGTTTGAAATCTAAAGTAAATGACTTGAACACTGTTATGTGCATATAATATTATAATTGCCTCATTATTTTGGGCAGGTGAAGTAGAGTCCATCTTTAAGCCATTTTGTTATAAAACTGCTGCGCAAATATGAAAATGTTTCTAAAGCAATATTTTATATAAATACAGTGAATGTAAGAACTACATAGTTAGAAATCTAAATGACTTGAACACTGTAATGTGTATATAACTGCCTTGTTATTTTGGGCAGGTGAAGTAGAGCCCATATAAGCCATTTTGTAATAATTTAAATGAAGTTATCAGATCAATGTTTTTATGTGTGAATTGTGTATGGATTCTGATTTTCAGCATATAACTATATCTAAGGGTAAGTAGAACTTGAATACTTAAAATTACAGTTAGCACAATGCTAGTGTATAGCAACAGACAGGTAACCTAGATCTAGGTCTGACTCTTGTCAGTCTAGGACTCTAGTCTGACAAAATTGGATTTTAGGAAAAACATTCTGCAAAACTAGAACTAGAGCTGAAAAAATTAAAGATGGGTATGTAAATATATTCTGAAATAAAAAATTAGGAGATTTGTTTGCACATTCCATAAGAATGCTGTTGTTAGTTGATCAAACTTAAAGGCCGGAAGATCGGGATGAAAAAATATAACAATGGTGGCAACGCGACCTACATACAGTGACCACCTCTAAACGAGTATATCTAATGTCAGAGTCAAAATATCCAAAAACAAATATCATTTCCACATATATAAGATATGTCTGCTCAGTAATCTTCACTCATCTAGAATAACCTTTTAAAAAATCGTGATTCCAACGTATTTGAAACTAGCCTTCATACAGGGGGAAGACCAAGGCAGAGACAGCGTGCAATCAGATCGCTAAGCCATCAAAACAATGGGAAAACCATTCTACTTTTCATTTAACATTAGGAAATGACCTTTTAAACTTAATTAATTACCATAAATTAAAAACTTATTAGTATGCAAAACCAAATCTCGTGCGCCCGGTATCAGAAAGTAATGGGCGATTTCGGGTCATGTTTTTACCGCGATCTCGGCCGATACCGACAACCCTACTAGATTAGATAGTGAGTTGTTGAGTAATGACTCGAGTGATAATCGATCGAAAATATACAGTGCCGAACAACGTATTGTACCAATATGATTAAAAAATTATTAAAAGAATAATGCGTCGGTGAAATGTCGATTTTTATCATACTTAGCATAATATACTTTTCCATCGGTCGTCACCCTTTCTTCCCATCCAGGAGGTAATTCATCTTCGCTATCCGAGTCGAATAATTGAGTCGCCATTCTATAAATATAAACACACGCATGCTCAAACAAGACTTCCTCTTTCGTTTTTGTTCCAGCTAAAAAAACAAGTGCGGAAATTTCCGAACATAAAACAAAAAATCCGAACAATATATTATGTGTAATAATAAAGTAGGCTTACTTTTACACAATGTGTAAAAATGGGGGAGGGGGGGGGGGAGGATACGGTACTCTTAGAAAGCGTAAATAATGTGACACTTTGGCATTTCAAAAAGTAGTTTTGGTATATTTTTATAAAATGTATCAATCTTCGCAGTAGCTTATCGGCACCAAACATCGTCACAAAATATTCTGCCCCACCCCCAATTTTCTGTACGACATCAATTATGAGAAAATCTTAGCACTTATAAAAGGCCTAAATGCGTAGTACCATAAAGCTCTTACACCAGCCTATAATGGTGTAGTAAGGCCTACTATATTTGGTCTTGTCTTATACAAGCCTCATGGTGTAGTACCATACTTGGTCTTATACAAGCCTCATGGTGTATTACCATACTTGGTCTTATACAAGCCTCATTGTGTAGTACCATATCGGTCTTATACAAGCCTCATGATGTAGTACCATACTTGGTCTTAAACAAGCCTCATTGTGTAGTACCATACTGGTCTTATACAAGCCTCATGGTGTAGTACCATATTGGTCTTAAACAAGCCTCATGGTGTAGTACCATACTTGGTCTTAAACAAGCCTCATGGTGTAGTACCATATTGGTCTTATACAAGCCAACTGGTGTAGTACCATACTTGGTCTTATACAAGCCTCATGATGTAGTACCTTACTTGGTCTTATACAAGCCTCATGGTGTAGTATACTAGTCCTACACAATAACAGTGAACCTAACTGCACTGCCATATGGACATGCAGTTTTCGAAAAATGTTTTTTATTGAATAAAAGATCAAGATAATCCATATAACGTCATGTTACTCTATGGTCACACATAGTCATAAAAAACCAGCGAACTCCCCCCCCCCCCCCACCCACACAGTGACGCCTACTCCATCCTCCAAACCCAACTTAATCATAATTGTAATCAAAATGAGCAGGTTTGTTTTAATAATTTTCGTTCTTCAAAAAAATGTTATCACTCCTATACCACCTCCTCTTCCCGGCATCAACCCTCACACTATTTAAGCACGACCCCTTAACTACTCCTAAAAATCCGCAATAAATAAAATGGTCAACTGACTGCTAAGAAGGGAGGTAATTTATAATTTCTTAGAATTCAAAATCATTCGTTTGATTATCTCGCCATATTCCTATTTTTCTAATTACAAAAAAAAAATTCCACTAATGAGCTCAGGATTTGTCCAAATTGCAAAAAGACAATGAAGGTATTCAGGCTTGCGCTAGTTTTTAGACAGGAGGTGCTAAAACAAGTCAGGTCTGTAATTTATCCAACGCGCCGACACACTGTAGACCTACAACAGTTTTATAGGCAGTAATTTATCATGTGGAGGGGGTTCTAATCCCCTAACACCCCGACTAGTCACGCCACGGTTGTACAAACTTATTTGTTATATTTATATGGCAGTGAAAAAATAAAAACCTGTAGTCTATATCAGCAGCGTCACTTGGTCGGGTGTAGTAACGGAGGGTGTCACTCAGAGTTTCTTCCAGGCAAAAAGTCTGGAAGAAACACTGGTGTCACTCTCAACATCTGCAACAATTTTGAATATTCAGCTTGGTGTCACCCCAACACACCCCGAAAAAACCAGCTCTTATAAATTATTAACTGTAACCACTTATACGCCTGTAAATCGTGGAAACGGAAGAAAGAATACAATGTACGAATAAGAGTTAGTGACACGTTTAAGGTGTTGTCAAAAAAAAAAATTACGGTCCTTACACGGGAGGGGTGAGGTAGGTAGAAAAATAAAGGGTGGTAAGTCCAATGCTGAATTAAAGTTGAGTAGGGAAGTTAACAAAGAAAAAAAAAATTTTAAAATAGTAGTAGGTGACGTAAATTGATCGGAGGGGACCTAACCTGCCTACAAGAATATTATAGTACTGTGACCATTTTTTAAGTCTGGCCTACTTTATTACTATGACCCGAGCCTACTTTATTACTATGGCCCAAGCCTACTGTATTACTATGGCCCAAGCCTACTGTATTATTATGGCCCAAGCTTCTGTATTATTATGGCCCAAGCTTCTGTATTAATATGGCCCAAGCCTACTGTATTATTATGGCTCAAGCCTACTTTATTACTATGCCCCAAGCCTACTTTATTACTATGACCCGAGCCTACTTTATTACTATGGCCCAAGCCTACTGTATTATTATGGCCCAAGCTTCTGTATTATTATGGCTCAAGCCTACTTTATTACTATGCCCCAAGCCTACTTTATTACTATGGCCCAAGCTTCTGTATTAATATGGCCCAAGCTTCTGTATTAATATGGCCCAAGCCTACTTTATTATTATGACCTAAGCCTACTGTATTACCATGTCCCAAGCTTACTGTATTACAACTATATTACCGAGATAGCCTTTGGAAGCCCGGCTTAGCTTAGAACTAAATGTGTGTTGTTCTTGTTTGGTAGGTAAACAGTCTACGTGACAGTCTACGTGACAGTCTACGTGACAACCCAGTGACATTTGATATAATAGAAAGGTGTTAAACACACGTAACTAGAAATGCCTTGTGTGTTTTTGTTTGGGAATTTTCCTTGGCAGCCTTGCGGTGCCTAAATCCTCACTCGTTTAATACCATTTGAGGTTGTTTTAAAATGTTAGTGCAGGCAGAGTCCGTAGCGACCCATTCCGGCGCCCCGGGCGGACTATCGATTTTGCGCCCCTACCTCCCAAAAATTGATATAGAAAACAGTTAAATCAGTCTGTAAAGCCTTGTTGTCGTGTATTTTCGTAGCTTTGACTGTGTATAATTCAACACTTCAGCTTAAATTGAGCTTTAAAATTAATTTTCCTACCCCTTTTGGCCCGGGGCGACCGCCCCACCCGCCCTCCACTAGCTACGCCACTGAGTGCAGGATACGTACTAGAATATTGGGAGGTGGGGGGGGGGGGGGGGGTTAAAGTTTGTTGTTCGTTTGAAATGCACTAAAATTAATTCTTCTTCTTATTTTCTTAATTTTTAGTGTTGGAAGTGATCGAGCCTTATCTGCCAGAGGGTTTGAACTCGAGACATTTTCGAATTTTATCAACCTTGAGCTTTCTGCCGACTCGACCACGCCTTCATCACAATTAAGGATACGTGTCAACTCGTTATGCGCCATTGAGGCCATTGACTCCGATTTCAGCCTGATTTTCTTTTTGGATTTGCTTCCATAGCCTTTGTCCAATCAAGAACAAACTACAAGGCTGCAGTTGTTTGATTTTGGAGTTGTTTCTCCTAGAAGAGTGGCTGTCCCCAGCTAACGAGCCTCATCTGCCCGAGGGTTCGAACTCGAGACTTTTCGGTTTGGCAACCATAAGCTTTTACTGACTCGACCATGCCGACCCCTACTAAAATTAATTAAAACGAGTTTAAATTGATTTTTTCCCGGCAAAGGTACGCAAATTTTACTTTGGTTTCGCTTACTCTATCCCTAACCCCAGGCACCCAA